AGGAGCTGCTGGAGGAGCTGGGCTTGTTTGAGCCTGCAGGAAAGGAGGCTGAGGAGAGACCTTACTGCTCTCTACAGCTACCTGAAAGGGGGACGTAGTGAGGTGGGTGCCTGTCTCTGTAGTAACAAGAGGTGGAACAAGAGGAAACGGCCTCAAGTTGTGCCATGGGAGGTTTAAGTTGGATGTGGGGGTACATTTCTTTACTGAAAGGCTAATCAGGCACTGGAACGGGCTGCCCAGGGAAGCTGTTGAGTCACCATCCCTGCAGGTGTTTAAAAGACTTGGTGCTCAGGGACAGAGTTTAGTGGTGGACCTGGCAGTGGTGGGTTGTTAATGGTTTGGCTTGATGCTCTTAAAGGTCTTTTCCAACAAAAACAAGTCTGTGATGTGGCTGCTGAGTTTTATGTACATGATGTGAAACACCTGGCAAAGTGGCAGAAGAGATTGTGAAAATAAATGTGGAAAAAAAATCTAGAAAACACATTGATTAGTTATTTCTCTCTGTCAGGGCACTGGTGTGAACCTGGTGCCTCAGGGACACAGCTAATAAGCACGTGCTTTTAGAAATGCTTAAATTGCACGTCGTGCACAAATGGGATTTGATTATGTTGCTAGTGGTGGGGTTTGAGGTGTTTGGAAAGCAAGGAGAAAGAAGCTGAAGATCAGTCTTTTCTGTTCTTCCGTATACATGGTGGGTCCAGGTTCTAATCCTGCCATATACTGAAGTCAGAGGAGACAGCTTTGATGTCAGTACTGACATAGGGCACCTCTAGCTAAAGCAGGAAGGAGGAGACTTTAAAAATATTCTTAGTACTTTTGTTATATACTGTACTGAAGTGCTTCTGTTCGTGTTAGCTAGTTTTTCCATTTATTTTTTAAAATTAAATCAGTCTGGCTGTTTTGCTCTTTACGCACACTTTAAGTTTTATGCTGCCCTATTGGGATTTATTTAAGGAGGAAGCAGCAGTTAAGAAGTAAAAAAATGGTATTGACTCCTTTCTGTCAGGGCTTGGAAACAAACCCTTGTCATCTCTCTGAAAGTATCTTGTTATTAGGCTCCCAACTTCCATTGACTCAAGGGCAACCAATATTAATGCTTTCTTTTTTTTTTTTTTAAGTTAGACCTTTTTCTGGCAACATCCTATTTTGCTCTTTCCATCCCCAGTTCAGTTTCCTGTAGCTGCACACAGCACTGCAGGGTCTTGCAGACTGCAAAGGAGGGAGTGGAGCAAGGGGAAACATTCCCAAGTCACCTTATGGCCACTGCTTTTGGGCTGTTGTGAGGGCTATGCTAAATGCTATTAATAAAACTCCAGTTCTCTGTGAAATACTTTATATCCTCATTTTACAAGGGGCATGTTAAAATAGGGTCTCTGAAAATGATGAGAGGAGGATATTTCTGTTTCGTATTACTGGTAGCAGTTTGGCAGTAGTAATTTCTGCCTTTTGCTTCTGTTTCAATCATTATTTACTTCTTGGTCGCACAACTGCTGAGAGAAGCAGAGTTTTAATATGTGATCTTGAAATTATAAAGTTGGGTAGGAATTTTGAAGAAAGACATAGTACCTCAAAATGCGCTTTATCTCCTTGAAAAACCCTAAGTGATCTACATCTCACACTAGTGTATCACTGTACCACAAGATAAAAAACAGTTGTAAAGAAAAAACCCAAAAGACATTCCTTCTTATCTTTTTAAGCGCTATTAAACATTTGGGTGAGTTGCTGAGAACTGCTATAAATCTATTTTAAATCTAGTAAGGTAAAACAAGGAACTCTTTGGTTATGCCAAGAAACATTGAGGCTTGAGCTGGATTTGGTAGTGTGAAAGGTCAGATCCACTAGTTTAATAGATTGCAGGTGTGTTAGCTTGGTGTAATGATTCTTTGGGAAGTAGTTTATCAGAATGTCTGGGACTTATGGTAAGGTATTTTAAAGGATGGTAAATAGATTCTGAGTGGATGTTAATTATTTAAATGCCTGAATGTGTTGGGTAGTTTGTGTTTTTTTCCTTTTCTAGTCTAAGAAAAAAGGCCTGAGCTTTGAGGAGAAGAGAACTCGCATGATGGAGATCTTTTTTGAAACAGTAAGTAACTTGTCATGGTCCTGCATTTAAATCAGTGAAAAAATAGATCTTGAAAGGAGCTTAACTGTAGATGTAGATGAACTTTGTGTATCCTGTTATGCATTTCACTGATGCCCTGTGTCACTGATGTATGAATTAAAGGGACAGCACTTCATTTGTGTAGCTTCTGATTAAGTGGCACATCACCTGGTGGAGCCAAGTCGCGAAGAAGCAGAGGTGGTGGTAAATGCTACATTTGCTTCCTATACGAATCTCCTCATTTTGAGTCTGTTACCGTAAGAGAAGATAGCAAGAGATTAGGAAGTATTTCTCTTACCATTTATGGGAGGAACAAATCTGAGTGTTAAAAAAGATGAGAGCAGATGTGGAAGAGGCCATGGCGGAGAAGAAACCTGGAGATCCAAAAACAGAGCTACAGTTGTATTGATGACATATGTAATTCACAATGTTTCACCTATTAAAAAAATGGCTGTGATATTGCAGTAATTGAGCAGCGTGGTACATCTGGTGCTGGCAATCTAACCTTGGCTCTGTCTCCCCTAAGGGTTTTGCAGTCTTAGTTTCAGGCAAAATATGATGACTTAAAGGGTATGAAAGAAAAGAACAGGGCTTGTTACAATAATAGTTTTGTTTTTTTTTTCCCTAAATTCTCAGAATGTTCTAATTCTGTTGAGGGATATGTGACCTGTTTCCCTAGCAAAACATAAACATACAATGCATTTCTTACTTGCTTTTGTTGGCATTGATTTAGTGTAAAAAAAACAAACACTCAGGCTTGGATGACGCTATCATTTGAAGCTAAAGTTTCTTTTATGTTTTGCACAGAAAGATGTGTTCCAGTTGAAGGATATAGAGAAGATTGCTCCAAAAGAAAAAGGGATTAGTAAGTTATTTCTCTTGAGCCATTAATAATTTTTGGAACAGATTATACAATGGAAATTTTCCTGGTGACAATTTTAGGTTCGTGACTGTAATAATAATGGAAAACATAGCTAGAAAGGTAGGATGGTCAATGGCTGTAGCTTTAAAAGTGTTATCAAAAGCATACTCCTACCTCAGTTTGCTCATGTTTGTCACTCATGTTAGGGCCAAAATAAGGGATTATTAAAATGTCACAGCAAACTCCAGGTTAACCACTAAAACATGGGATGGGGTTTTTACCAGGCTCTGAGATGCGTGATTTGCAGTGATTTTCTGTCTTTGAAATCATTATATGTATGTAGGTAGTGAACAGAGAATTAAAATGTATGTTTGTGTCTGTAATGGCTTTTCTTAAAATGCAAGTCCAGATGTACATGGTCAATGTTCTGTTGAGCTTTTCCCCCAGAAAAATGGTTGGACAGCTGTAAAGGGAAAAGGTTTGTCTTTTCATTGAAAAGCTTTCCTGATGAGATCCATTGGTTTAGGATTAGGTCCAAGAGGATTATCTTAAGTTGCTGAGTTGTTTTATATGTTCCTCATCCTGCTTCCTTCCTGTGTTTATTGATGGAAAGGGGACAAAGTATAATGTTTGTGTAGTTGCCACTGTCCTTGTACAGCATATCTTTGTGGCACTGCAAGAGAACTTGTTGAAAGAACTGCAGGCACGTGTGAGTATTGCAAAGCAGAGTTTTTTGGTTACGTCAGCAGCTGACAGAGGCGCTCATAGGTTTCTGAAGAGGTGTGATGCTGATTGGTTTGTAAATGCATGTGTTTAATCGTAATTTGCAGGAAGAGGATGCAAAATAGCAAATACAAGCAATGGAATTTTATATTTAAAAATCTGGAGCACAGAGTTTTTTTAAACCATTAAAACATAGTTACTCTGAAAAAAAGCATCTAACCTCTGGAAATGCCCCTATGCTGGCACCCAGCCTATAGCTTCCATAAGACAGGATGTTCCTGATCTGGAATCCCCTTAGACTTGAAACTGGAAGTCAGACACTAAAAACATTAATTAGCTCAACAGTTTACAACACTTGAGAATAATAACTATTTGGCTGTGTTGAACAGGTATAATTTTTAAAATGTGGATTATACCACACATTTGCTAGAAAATGAGCAACTACATTCAGAAATATTTTGTATCCTTCTGGCTGAAGGTGGCTTTCTCTATGGGAACTGAATATAATCAAAAGTAAAATCTGTCCCTCCTGAATTTGTAAACAGATGGTTTTGATGCACCTGCTGTTGTTCTGTGCTTTGATAAGCATTTCGAAGTAAAACGTAATTACACTCCTAATAAAAAAAGTTAAAAGTTAATCCATGTTAGAATTAAGTTTGCAATTCAACTTCTCAAGTATCCTCTCTTGAGTTTGTTTTGATATTGTGCTGTAGTGTGCATGTAAGTTTTATGATGCTTGTGAGTGGTGTTCTACAGGCATCTTGTAGCAGACAGTATAGATAGCAGCTTTTATGTATAAACTGCTGATTTTGAAGGGGTTAATTCCTTCAAGTGAAGCATTAGGCATGGCACCCTCTTGAAATTGTCCAGCTGGCTGACATTAGAGTCATATATTCATACAGATGATTGTAGGTTTATGGCTATGGTAGTCATAATTCTCCACAGTTTAGATAGTATGCCATTTTAATTTGATGGTTTTGCTTTTTTTTAGCCTCAATGTCAGTGAAAGAGATTCTGCAAAGCTTAGTTGATGATGGCATGGTGGACACTGATAGAATTGGAACTTCCAATTATTTCTGGGCTTTTCCAAGTAAAGCTCTTCATGCCAGGAAGCGTAAACTGGAAGAACTGGAGACTCAGGTAAATCTGTTTTAAAGCAAAGTACTTGATTACCTGAATGGGTTTGCTTTTTCCTCATACCCTCCTATCATTCTTTTTCATACCGTGCTCTCTCGTGTGTGTATGTGCATGGGCACACGCATGCAGAGATAAATTTTCCTACAGGGATCATCTGGCACTCACGATATGACATTCTTTTTCATTATTATGCTATTACCTCAAAGTAGTTTTGGAGGTTGTTCTTGTTGCAGCTTGAGAAGACTTCTCATCTACTTGCTGCTGAAAGCATGTTATTCATGATGCAAAACGTTATTTAAGGACTTCCTTTAAATATTTACGCGGCATATGTTTTTGTGTGTCTTTTATATAATGTAGGCCATCATGTGGTCAAGAGCCATGAGAGGACTAAGATGGATATTCCAAGTAAATGTGGCAATCTTTCCTACTTATGGCCATTCTGCTTTCCAGTCTGTTTTTATCACTAGCTTAATTTGTGAGTACTTGGGTATTCCCATATTGCACTTTTATTAGGAGAGAAGACCAAACTGGTTATCTTCTGCAGAAGAGCAAAGCATCTTCTGTTACAACACTGCTGTCCTATTGATCTGGTTCTTTCCTACTTTTTAGGAACTTTTTCTTATTTTAATTGGCATGGGAAAGTTTGTTAGTTTATTTGCGACTGGAGTACATGATAAGATCAGTAAACTAGCTTTATGGTTTAAATGCACCACAATACTGCAAACATTTCCCGTGTTTATGTAGCATTATGGCCGTTCATCAAAGATGCAAAATTTTTGGTAGCATTTGAACATTTTTATAGACATTATTTTCTTCAGGCATAGATCTAGTGTTGTCATTGCTGTCTTGTGAATATACAGCATTGTCAACTTCAGCTACTTCTTTAGAGCTCCGGATTAATTTTATAAAAACATGCTTCCTCCAAATCAGTTGAAAAAGCAGTTTGTGCATCTGAAGACTTGCTAAAGCAGATTAAGTAGCCTGATCAATTCAGCTGGAATTTCTTGTTTATGCTTAGTGTAGTGTGACCAGCTGAGAGGTAACCTTGTCGCTTACTCTTTGCTATTTTGTCATTCCTTGTAAATCTCACTCATTACTAAACTGAAATAGTTTGGTCCACTGTTCTGTTTTAAACAACATTTCCTTTTGTCGTCAAAGTTTCCATTACTGGCCTGTGTGCTCTAGATGGCCATCTGAAGGCATTTTGGATGTCTGCTTGGGTGGATCTGGCAGAGGGACGAAGGTACTGGTACTCTGTCCTGATGCATCTCCTGCAGTTTTCAAGATCAAGAGTAGGGCTTTCTAGAACTTTCACTTCCTTTCTCCTTATCTACTAATTAATGTCATTTTTATAATCCAGTAATACATTCAGAGGTCTGTGGCAGTAAGGAGGTAGTACTGCAGTTCTTTCTATCATTAACTGGAATCATGTATTGACAACCTTTCAGACAGCTGCTTTTGATGAGATGGAAAATGCTGCGTGAGATAGCTCTTGTGGTACTGTATGGGTCATCAAAATTAATGACTTTTTAATTTCAGGTTATGCCACTGACTTGCTCTGTATTTTGAGTAACTTTCTGAGCACCTCAGATTACCTAAAAGTGTCATGGATATAAACTGTAATTTGTGTGCAACGAGACTCAGTTAATACTAGTTTGTCTGGATAATTTTGTCTGCTCTTTTGCTGCCTTTGTCTTCAGAATTCAAATTAGTCCAGACGTTAAAAACTTAACTGATTCAGCTGGATGTGCTTGTACTACTTTCAGGCATGGTGTTAGCATCTGGCATGGCTAGGCTCGAATTCAATTGTATTGACTGATAGTAATAGTTCCCTGATTCCTACATCAGTTTCCTTTCTCTGAAGCAGGAGATCAGTTTAACTGAGTTTCCTAGTAAAGTTACTCAACTTAGTCATATATTCACACAAGTTTTAGACCGAGCTACTTACTCTGCCAGAACATAAATGCCAACTGAGCAATTGAATGTGCCAAGATTCCTGCTTTGTTCCCAAACACTCTGGTGCTGTTGTCTTGTTGAATGCAAATTATTTGCTCTTGGATTATTTTTTTTTTGCTCATGCTCCATATTATAGCTAAGTAGTTGAATGAAGGCATTTGTATTATCTTTGCACTTGGGCCTAGTCCCATTATGAATTTTAAAGATAATTGATCAAGCAGGTCTCTTGAATACCCTGATGAGTATCTTCTTTGGAGTGCCTTGAAGAATCTGCGTAATGTGCTCCACCCTAAGTATCAAGGGCTTATCTACAAATACATGCTGTGCTGCTTTAAATGTACTGTTGCTTTATTAAACATAAATACATCTGTTTTTATGGAATTATTATTATGGAGTTATTGTATTGTGAAGTTTTTTATGGTTATTTCTGTGTAGGAAATAAACTATGGGGGTATAAACATTTTTGCAATATAAAACTGTTCCAGTTGAATGAAATAGTTTTGTTACCACACCTTTATTTGTAAAGCAAGTTTTGCTCCTAACATGTGGGCTTACTGATCTGAGGTCTCTTTAGACTGTGCTATGCATCCTTAAAAATACTTATATTCATTACCTTGCTTTTATGATGAGAATGGAAATGTTTCAGCATTTCAAGGATAAACATTTTAAATAGCTGAAAATAACTTCTCTGTTGACACAGTGGAAGGGTGGCATTTTCAGTGAATAAGTCTCTGAACACTTTTACAAGATGATAACAGATTCTGTCTGTAAGTTCAAATTAGCTATTTTAGTGTTTGTATTCTTGATGCAAACACAGTTTTCTTAAGGGTTTCTAAATCTAGTCACCAAGTATCACAAAACTTCTTGTCAGAACATGCAAAGCAGAGAAGAAAAGTAAGCTATTGTACCATTTCTGTTGCCTGCCTTTGATCATTACTGTATACAGCTTGTGGTGTGCTGAGAAACAGATTTCCTTTCTGTTTCTCATCCAGATCACTTGTTAACTACCTGAGTTGGTTTCTTTCTTCAGCAGTTAAAAGTCGGAATCAAGCTGCCTTTCTTAAAACTAATATTAAGAAATTTAGCAGTTCTGTTCATACTGAAATTAAAGCTTTTTACCAGGAGACTGTATCTTTGAGGGTGTGGATAGGTAGTGGAGGGAAAGGGGTGATCCCAAATGCTGAACAGAGACATTTGAAAACAGTGTTAAGAAACAGAACAAGCTTCTCCATCATGCACATTCTCCCATTAATTCCTAACACTGAGGCTTACATTTGACAAGTTGGGCCTGCTATAGGACCTTTTGCCTGCATATATTGGTACCTCGTGTTTTAGCAAAGTTGTAGCTCTCTGCATCTTACAAAGTTTGTGATCATGAGGAGGCTGATTTAGAAACTGTTTTTGAAACAATTTTTTTTTTTTCAGATTTTTTTTAGTGAGTATTGAGCCACACCCCAACTTGGAGTCTGGTAAGCAAAGAGGTCTGTCTCAGTATTTGTAAGGAAGAGCCAGTTTTGTCTCGTTGTTTAAAGTTAGACCTCACAGTGGTTGTATATACCCTAGATTTGTGTTTTTTCAGGAAGGATTTTTATGTCATCAGTGTGATTCCCCTTGTGCAGAGATACGGCAATTAAAACGCAAAGCTTGAAATAAAGATTTTGTTGACATAGCTTGTCCCTATGCCCCTATCTTTCAAATTTCTTTTGTGGGGGCAGGTATTTGGAGAGGGGCACTAACCTCTGAACTGACACATATGGCAGATCTTGTGCTGATCTGATTGGGATTAGGATCTTGGTGCTGCTCTCTAAACTGGGGTCACTGTTTGAACAACTTTTTTTTGAAAAGCAAGGACAGCAAATATCTTTAGCTTGTGTAGCATTTGCTGCACTTTATTTTCTCTGATAGCTCACAAAGTAAGAATTGCTAAGGAGGTCCCTATGGATTTTGTATTGATTTGTTTTGCAGTGGCATGGCTGCTCTTAGTGGCTCACGCTTTCTGCCAGATGCTTATTTTTCATCTCTTGCTTATGCTTATGCAGCTGTGAATTGAAAAAGGAAAAGATGTTGGGACTTGCATTTTTGTTAGATGGGTTTATATTTACATCAGTACAGCTATGAGATGGGGAAACTAGAGCTGGGGTATGGATTGAGAGATATCTTTTTAACAAGGTTTGTAAGTAGAGAAGTTTTTAATGGAACTTCACCTTTGAGAGAACTGTGGAAGCTTTACTGTGAGAGTGTGTTGTTTGGTTGGTTTTTTCCTTCCATAGAAAAGGTGAAAGGATGTGGTTTTATTCTTTATCAATGCTTTCCTGGCAGTCAGGTTCTAAAGTTAATTACTTCCAGTCTCCTCATTTTAAGCATGCTATGAGACAACAAAATCATCAATAAATTATATTTCTGCTTACACACTTCTTCATTTAATAAAGACCTTAAACTTCAGTATTGTTATGCTAAGTGTAAACATCTCATTTCTTCAAAATAAAATTATTAATTATTAATTAAATTAACTAGTAATAGTGAGACATTTTTCACCCAAGAGTTGATGAGTCTGCAAACCACAACCTTCAGAAGCCCTAAGGAACATCCCATCTCTCCGGCACATTGTCTGCCGTAGCCAGTGTGACAGGGGATCTTGGCTGGGGTCGTACAGGGCAGGTTTAGTACTCACACTGCAAGGCTGAAGGGAGGTAGAAGCAGTTTCAGTAGTTCTTGGTGACATCAAAGAGTGTCTGAAATTCAGTAGAAAAGGGATACATGCTCAAAACATAAGGTCATAGAGGACTGTCCCAGCATGGTGTAGTATTTTTCACAGAGGCCTGAAATACCAAGTTCTTCAAAGATCTTGCAGTTGTTAGTGTGACTGCCGGCAGTACTGCAAGCAACTGTAATTCAGTAGCTTGGAGAAACCACCAGTTTTCTTCCAGTCTGATTTTGTGACAGTTCATTTCACTGTTCAGTTCAAAACAGTTTATTACACAGTTTTATTGTTAATTGCTATTTATTGTGAAGTTGCTTTCATGTGGGTTTTGTATTCTTAGGCTTTG